ATATATAGATATAGATATATATAGATATAGATATAGATATAGATAGATATAGATATATATATATATATATATACCGTAGGAGGGAATTCTGGGAAATGAAGTCAGGACAACAATATAGCATGTGGAACAAACCATTTAATATTATTACAAAAGTTTGACACAAAGTTGGTTCACAATTTACAATGAATATTACAGAATAAATACAATGCTGTATTCTTAAAAATAGGCAGTTCTGACTACCATCCACTATTCCGGTGTACAAAGTGATGCTTAATCAAATGTGGAGACGGACAGATACGAGTATAAACAAGGCAGAAGATGAGCCCCAGAAAGGAGTGGGTGTTCGTGAAATGACAAGTGGATGCTGTATGAGCATTTACAGAGTTCATTTCAGTTTAAAATCAACTAATACGTTCCTCACCGCAGTCTCGCTTCAGTGACACCGCAAAATGATACCAGAACTACAAACATTTTCTTGACGCACAGGAAGGTCCTCTTGTTGTAAACCCGACATCCTGCTCATATGTGGAGCAGGTGGCCCCTTCTTCAGGTCAGGCACATGTTTCCCTGGAGAAGAGTAAGTGAGAGAATCAATAACCTGTCAATACCACTGATACATGTTATACATCACGTGTCCATGTTCATGCAGCTAGCAGTGCTAAGTGTTAATATACCTATTGAACAGATATGTTATGTCTAGGTACAGTGCAGTACCTCTGTACAGCAGCTTCTCTCCTCTGCTCAGTTCTCCTTCTTGTTGTCTAAGAGCTCCTGGGTCTGCTCGGCTAGCCTCCTCTTCTCCTCTTGCTCCTTCTTCAGCGCCTTGTCTATTTTCCTACTTTGGTAGATCTTAACCCCGGCGAACGCCAAACACAGCAGCAGCGTCTTCAGGGCCAGGATGTACAGGAGGAGGGGGACATTGTCCAAAACCTGGATGGACAGAATATGTTTGAGGATTCTGCCTCCAGACAACAACACAAACACAAAGCACATGTCTGTCGAGGAAACAGCAGCTTGGTTTTCCTTCTACTTTATCAATGATTACAGGACACATAAGAGTCACTTTTGTCTCTGAGAGAAAGTTGACTTATGACAACTCAATGAGAAATGGAAAAAAAAAGAGGGGGGGGGGGGGGTTGTGGAACATTCAGGGATCCTGGAGATCTCTCCTTCTCTCTGTGTGTGTGTGTGTGTCTCTCTCTCTCTCCTCAGCTGTCAAAATGGGAGGTGGAAGTTCATTTAGTTACATAGAGAGGAGGTGGTGTGTGAAAGAGAGAAGCAGCTGCATACCATGTTGCATTCTGGGTAAACTTGGAACAAGTCATGTACACAGTATTCGCTGCCAAAACTTTAATCAAAATAATTGACAATTTTAGACACCGTATGATACATTTAAAAACATGTTACTCACACAACAGACACATATGAAGGAAATAGAGACAACAAGACAGTCACACACATTGTTTAGCCGTAACTTCTATTTATTATGTAGTTAGCTAACTTAAATGTGAAGTTTGTGAGGAATAACGCTGTAGCAACGTTAGCATTGTGCTAGTGACAGCTGAGACAACCTTGCTTTATCACAGAGGACCCAACTGCGCAACAGCTATTACGCAAATAACAAAACAGACATTATATATCTATAAAAGATTACAGTTGAGTTTATTTACCTTCCAGTTGATCATTTTTGGAGTCTGGAGTGTTGACGTTTCTTGTTTAATGTGACAGCCCGGAGAGGTATTACAGCTCCTCTGACGAAGGCGGGGCTTGTAGTGACCGGCCAATCGAAAAGCAGAAGGCAGGGCTTGTAGTAACCGGCCAATCGAAAGGCTAGTCTCCGTTGGACGTCACCTGTGCTGCATTCAGGTAAGGTATGGACTCAAATTTTTTACGTGTTGATCATTCATTGTGGCTTTAATATATATGCACTTGGCGGTGATAAAGATGAGCTCAGGTATGAAATGTATCGTAAACTGTATTCATTTTTTAATTGAACTATTGATTTTAATGTTTCTTTTTTAATTATGCTATGTATTCGGATTACTCCTATTTAACATGAATGCATCATAACTGGTGTATATGATACACCTACTAGCACCTGCTTGAAGGCTCTAGCACTGGGATTAAAATACAAAATGTATATTTTACAATAATAAATAATATATATTTAAAGATAATTTCTCATTACAAAGTCCAAACACAGTAAGGACAAATCAAGCAAGATTTGTTTTCACCAAATCCCCAAATAATCCACACCCAATTGTTGGCAACTGAATAACGTTAGAAGTACATTTTGGAGAACAAAAATAGACCATGGAACGACCTGAAATTAGCAATGGACATTGAAGAACATGCCAGAAGATGGCAGTAATGAGTCGGTAAAAAAAGTAAAATACCTTAAATCCTCAACGAAGAAGAACCGCACTGCGCATGAACACTCGGGTCAAACAATAAGCACATAGCTATGCCAGTTAGTGTAGTTTCTACTCATTACGCAGCATGGCTCTAGTTCCGTACGTAGAGAATCCGCTACCCGCTCTTTCAAAACTCCACAATTCATCAGCACAGTTTCGGTTCGCCGACCACGACCTCCGTCTCGCCCAGGACTGGAAGAAGCTCGGGGTGGCAGCAGTTGTGTGGGATGCGGTAGGTAAGCGAGACAAACCTGTGGCGACGTTTACGACCGTCGTTATTACGCACGTGATTGAATGTGTGTTGTTGCGTCTGTTTTTGCAGGCAGTCGTCATGTGCATGTACCTGGAGATGGGGAAGTTGGAGTTAAAGGGGAAAGGGGTCATTGAACTGGGAGCTGGCACTGGACTGGTGGGCATCGTTGCAGCCCTGATGGGTGAGTGTACTGTCCACTTGTGAGACATGCGCGTAAACACACACATGCAAATAAATTCTTCACCTTTCCAGGTGCCAAAGTGACCATCACTGACAGAGAGCCTGCCCTGGACTTCCTTTCTGCCAACGTGAAGGCCAACCTGCCCACGGACTCCCAGGGGTCCGTGGTCGTGTCTGAGCTGAGCTGGGGCGAGGGCCTTGAACGTTACCCGGCCGGGGGATTCGATCTGGTGCTGGGGGCAGACATCGTGTACCTGGAGGACACCTTTGTGCCGCTGCTGCAGACTCTGGAGCACCTGTGTTCGGACACCACCGTGGTGTTCCTGGCCTGCAAGATCCGCTACAAGCGGGATACAAACTTCTTGAGCATGCTGAGGCAGCGGTTCAGGGTCGAAGAGGTCTACTATGAGAAACAAAGGGACATCCATGTGTATAAATCCTGTAAACTGCCCCCCAGAGAGGATTTGTGACAACTGGGTGTCCTAACCATTCAGTTTGACTGGCTTCTTATTTGTAATAATTTAGTTTTTTTTGTTTGCATATGAATCAAATAAAAATGTTTTAACAAACATCAAAGATTACCAGAAACACATTTATTAACAGCTGCCAAAAATGTAATATTTGAATAGCTCTAACCCAATGCACTGTACAAGTTGGTGCTGACATTTAGAAATTGTGAATACAAAATTAATGAAAAGCAACATAAAAAAAAAAAAAAAAAAAAAAAGCATACTGTCATGACTATATATAGAATCCCTAAAAACAATACATGGCATTCCACTATGATGAAGATAGTTTTGCTCACTGTGAAGTCTTTTTTGATTTGGTCACAACCGAGTTGTACTTGGTGAGATTTGACACCAATACCGTTGAAAAGTAAAATCTTAGAGGCACCTTGTAACAGCAGGCGTTGCCTCTATGTGGTGCATGAGATCTTTAAACCGTGTGCGGTGTGGTAGGATTGTGTGTGCAAGGAAAGTGCGCATGGAACTTTGTAATCCTATAAACGGAATTTGGAGACTCCACTACATATCCTGATACCTCAGAATACAAAACTGCAGGAACTGTGTTGACGTTCCGTTCACCAAAATACCATGATTCCAGTGACGGGGCCGTGCGTCTCCAAAATCTGCCAAAAAATATGGAGACAAAGTATTTCTTTCATTGCCAAACATGTAAGGCTCATTATTTTTGTTCTTCATTCAAAAAGAATACAGGAATGAATCAGATTTATTTAAAAAAATGGATTTTAAAAATCCATAATACAAAAATGTGAGTGAAAATATTTTTTTTTTTTTTACACAAACTCTGTAGCTTAACCATTTTTGTTTCCATAGTCTGATGCATGAGCACAATTTTGTTTGCTTATAATCAAATGTTTCATTTGCTGTACCGAATGTTTAGTTTTTCCATTTGAAGCTTCTGTTGCTAAATGCCTACAAATAGATTGTAGAAGAATATTTAGTGAAATGTTTCGATCACAGTCCACCACTGGAACTTAATAGAATACTGATATTAGTAGTGTCGCAATCTTTATCTGCAGCTGTGCAAATAGACCAGGTTTAAACAGAATGAACAGATGTTATGAATGAAGCTTCAAACTATCCGGTTCAGCCCAGAGCTGTTTACTGTTAAACCGGTAAACAGCTCAGGTGATCAAAATCCCAGTTTAAATGTGTTCAAACGGGTGGAAATCAAAACCAATGAGCCTTAGTAACATTACTCAGAACATGTTGTGACATAAATGTTTCACTTGAGAGATTATGACTTTGTCATGTATCTTTAAAGCTGCATTTAACATGAAAACACAGTTACAACTCAACATCATGGTACGCTTTGTTGTTCGTTTGTCCAGGTCGTATCAAGGCAAAGTAAAATAAAGAAACAAAAAAAAAAAAAAAAAGGTCAATGGCATTATGCAAGCAGATAATCCAATACGTAATAAAACAAAACACAGCTAAAAGATTAAATGTCCATGACACAGCCCATCTACAGTTCAAAGCATTAGTAAGTAACAGATGTTAATGCAATAGTACAACTACAAACGCTGCACACAGAGGAAACCTCTCCAGATGATCCAAGTGTCTCGGGGAGATTAAACGGTAAAAAGTTCCGTCCTTATCGGTGATGGAGATCGAGCAGTTCACCGTTGCTGGTGATGTTGCCCAGTTGTTCCGGGCACCAGCGACTGGAGCACTTCCCTTTGGTGGCGTCGAAAAGACGAAACAGCGCAGCCTCACGGTCTGTTCCATCATTTCACCACAAGGACCCTGTATGGTTGTGGTGTCCTCCACATCCGTTCTGAGCATTGCGTCACCCTTTCATGGGGAACAGAATTACCATTTCATAACCGCTGAAGTGGGAGGTTTTTCTTTCTATTCCTGGTGAGTCACTTTTACAGATTTTTCAGCAGTTTTTAAAAAGAAAGCCAAAGAGTAGAAAAGGGGGGAGTGGCATCCAGATGCATGGCTCTGTGCTGAGTCTCTGTACATGGGGACAGAGCCCCCGGCAGGAGTTTGGTATCCTTTCTACTCAGATTTGTGGCAGTACAAGTCTTTGAGGGCTTTGAGTTCCTCGATGAGGGTTTTGTTCTGGTTCTCCAGCACGGCCACGCGGTTCTCCAGACACTTGACGTACTCCTTCTTCTTCCTGCGACACTCGCGGGCTGCCTCCCTGTGCGACATTAAGACCACGTGTGAGTAGATGTCTGTGGTTAAGGTCTAAACGTGCATACGTGGCTAACACAACACTACAGCATCAAGAAGACGGTCAGCCACATACCTGTTTTTCATAAGTCGGACCTCCCTTTTGCGTGTGACTTCCTCGGTGCCTCCTCCGGAGCCCAGTGCGGGCGAAGTGGCCATGACCACCCCAGGAGTGATGGCGCTGGTGGGGGCTGTACGGATCTGATAGGCCTGGACATCACCAGAGGCGGCTGACAGACGAAGACGGACAAACACACAGCGTTTGTAATAAAGAGATACAGAAACTCACATTCAGTATGCTTAAGCAGAACAGTATGTCGAGTTATTTCCCCACCTTGTACGACCACTTGGTTGCTGGGCACGAGGATCTGCTGGCCGTCGGTGGTCTGGGCATACTGCAGGATGGTGGCACCACCCTGGCCCGCGTTGGCCATGGTCAGTGTCTGCAGGCCCTGCATTCCATCTGTGCCGTTATTGGCTAGCTGGATGGCCCCACCCTGGGTAATGGCAACTGCAGAGGGACATTATGTTTGAATCGTGATGTTCTCAAATACAAACCAATGAAATAATAAAGTATTATACCGAGACTTTGCTTTTAACTGTCTCTAAATGAAGCAGCGATGTGCACTACTCAGCACTACTGCAAAGAGCAAAAGGGCATTGCTTGACAGCAGGATATCCTGCGTGTTTCAACACACACCACAAGCTTCCTGTATCGCAGTATTTAAAAGTACTCACTGTACTGGCCACTACTGGTCTGATAGATGGGAGTGGGCATGGTGACTGTGGTGATGGCAGGGGCGTCGTCTTCTGACTTTTCTTCCTCAATTCGAGGCACCGCCGGAACGTCCGACGATAAGTCGTTCAGGATCTTCCTGGAGATGAAAAAAAACAATCACGGAGAAAATCTCAGAAAAGTTTAGACTGAAGCACATGATGCTTGCCAGCTACACTGCACCTGTCAAAAAACATCAAAGCAATAAATGAATTGGTGATAAGATGTTACACAGACCTATAAGAGGGTCGTCTGGACAGGATCTCTCGCCTCTTCTGACAATCTGTCACACTGTCTACCGACTCCTGAGAGTCCTCACTCTCAGCAATAGTTGAAATCTGCAAGTGAACAAAAGTCAGTATACTCTAATATTAAAAAGCTGACTCAACAAAGAAAATCTGTTTTGTTGTTGTTGTTGTTGTTCTCCTATTTGTGTTCTTTATCCCACATGCTTTGTACATGCAAGAACGGAAGACGCATGAAATTAAGTGGTGTCTTCTAATCCCATGTGGGACGGGCCAAATGTTTGGCACCACAGAAATAAGACACATGAATATATAAAACATATAGCAATGAAGGTGGATCCATAAGTGAAGGATATCATTGACAGAAATGAGAAAATAGAAAAAGTTTTAGCTAGTATTACAATGTTTTGGAAGGTGGTTATTACTATTGGTTATTATTTAGACAAAGCAAAAAAAAGGGTTATAGTGTGCTGTAAAAAAACACAGTAAAAAGCCCCAAAATGGTCCTCTCACCTGTACTGTCTGGACTTGTGGGGACTGGATAACAGAGGGCTGAGCAGCTTGGATCACCCCGTGCACTTGGACTGTCTGACCATTAGGTAACTGCACTAGGGTGACAGTGGAACCACTTGTGGTCAGCTGGCCTGCTGCTATGGAGGCCTGTAACCATCACACACATGTCTTAATGAAGTGTGAACAGTTTCTCAGCAGGAGCAAGTACTCGTGACGATAAGCGTTTACCTGGGTCAGGGTGATGTGCTGTGCCTCAGACTCCGAGACAACTATTTCACCACTTTGCTGTGTGTCTGCACCAGCCTCCATTGTCATTTAAAAATCTGCAAAAAGTTAAGAGACTCCTTATTTGGATATGCACCATCATGCTTGAAATAGAACTGTGCAGCACAGACAGTGATCAAGTTGTGTGCAGCAAAAACACTCTCTGGAGGTTGTGCATGATCCACAGTTGATGTGCAGAAGGAGGGTGTGGCTTAGCTTAACATGCTAGCATACAATTAATTTGTAAGGATTGGATTTTAAATAATTAGCATAATTTAAAAGCATGTAGCACGTGATATATTCAAGAGTCAAAAACATATCTGTAATGTACCTTTCCATAAACGCCGGAGGCTAAAGCTAACTCCATGGCTAGCCTGGAGCTACAGTTAGCACGTAGCTAGCTAGCTCGAGCAGTATGAGCTCCATTGATTCTGTTAGCATGCTAACAAGCTAGCTCGGGGGGAATGCATTGAACACATTTAGCCGCCATTTATTTAACATCTCTCAAATCTCTATTTCAACTCGTTTTTTCCCTGTTTTTTAAACAGCTCGTCTAGTAGCGTGGCGCTAATAAAACTGTCCAAACTAATAAAACATTGCATAACTAATAACGGTATAAGTTGCTAGCTGTGAGCCTGCATGGAGGGAAATGTCTGCATGCATTGTATACCAGTTATGTTTGTAACTAGGGTTTGTTCTCCCACTTTCACTGATTTGTTGGCTCAATTTCACCTTCATTTAAAATGAATTAACTTTACATAAACAATTGCTTCTGTGACTTATTTCTAGGCAAGTTTATTAAAAGAAAAACAAACATTCAAGCCCAGTCCCATATTAATACCTATGTCTCAGTAGTGCCTTGCAGAGACTGACTCATTTTGAGAGCCTCTGCAACACCGCCGCCATGATCTCTTTGTTGGCTTTGTGCGGATATTAGGCTCGAATAACTTCTCTTGGGCAGCCATCTATCTGTTTAGCAAACATCGGATGCGTATCCTCTTACCAACACAGACTCGCTTCGTCACTCCCGGGTCTACGGAGCTCCACTTTTATTCAGACCGACACGTAAGAGACCGCGTCAGGCTACACCTCCGTCGCGTCACCGAGAACAACAACACGGAGAGGAGGACGAGGGAGACGACGACAGCGAAAAAATCAGCTCTATCGACAGGACCCGAGTGAACACGGAGAAGGCCGGAAGATGACGAAGGCTGCCGAGTTAACGGTCGAAAACCACGGAGATAGCCGAACAAAGGGCTTGAGCTCCTCGAACACATCTGAGCATGCGCAAAAATGTAAAACCATAAATCTGTTAAAATCCAAATAGCGGACAACTCTTTTTATCTAAATAGTAACTTAACAACAATAATAATAATAGTAATAATAATATTAACAATAATAATAACGATAGTAGTAATAATAATAATAATAATAATAATAAATAGTTCACTTCTGTTAGATTTAAATATGTTAAAAGAGATGATGATTTTAAAATAATTTAATTATTTTTAGTGTGCAAATTGACTTCCTCATATAAAATATTAATTCAATTCTAACACACCTATGCTTTACAAAAACACTACCAATCATGTTATGTGCATCTAAAATAATACCAAACCAAGAATTGTCCCCATCATCACTGTGTTTACATCGTTCTTACAGTGGGACGTGTCATGGTTCCCTGATGGTTTAATTTATTGTAAATCAAATGATAGATTTTTATTTATAAGTAATTTTAATTTTCAGCAAACATCAGGCACATTGTTGAGATGGTTTGAAATTCACAGACTGCAGTGCTCTTATGATCCACATGGTGGCAGCAAAACCCTTCTTTACTTTCCCCCACTATGAGAGTCAGCTCTGCCCCATTACATTCTTACGTTTCTTTTCTCCCAGCGTGATACGATGACTTATCTGTGAATTAGATTGGTCTTAACTGTGATACTGGCTTCGTATCACCAAACCATACTGTGATTTTAATAAGAAACCAGTGGGCTCCAGCCCTGTATCACTTATTATGTACTATTTACAGCCCCTGTGATTCACATACCATTTACTTCTCCTTGGTCGTCCAATTTAGCCATAAAATGTGCTCATTAACTGTGTCACTAGGTGTGTGTCAGGACTGGTGCTGTAGGACTGAAATGGGTTCTAAGCTGTGGCAGCTGGTCAAAATCCTGCGGGGAAAATGAGACTTCAGACCAATTTACGACCATCATCTCCATGTGCGAGGTCATTTCGGAGGCCTCTTAAAACACACTCACACACCCACACACACGTCAAACATAGCCATCTTCACCTATGGAGTGATTGACTACACTAGTGGTGCAACATATTCACTGCTGACCCAACCAATCTTGTGTCCTTTACCATAAAAACTGGCTCTATTTTGCAACAACACTCTTACATTTTGTACTTTTCTGTTCAAAGTGAAGCGCTGATAATGAATCGTGCAGTCACCTATTATTGAAACTCATCTCAATATATGTCACAAACCAGCCGTGTTATCTGTTGAAAAGTCTAAGTCAATAACCTGATTGGACATTGATTTCCCTCAATAATGACTGCCAGAGGATAGCCTTAGCAAACCATAATTAGCCTGCAGGGGAGCGTTTTCATTAGTTATCACTGAATGTGGACTTGGCTATGCAAGCTGTGCACATTCAGATTGTTTGCAGTGTTTCTGTGAAAATGAGTCTACAATCTGTGAGCATGTTGTTCATATTTTGTCATTGTTTTATACTCGGAAATAAAATCCCCATTCACAAATTTACACCAAGCTTGCACGAAATAACAATAATTATTTCCAGGATTTTGATTAATAAAACAGTGTGATCAGCTTTTTACACCATTTTCTAAAGTGACACTGACTACGTTTATGAATGTAAAAGACAGAGAAACCGCATATATTCACATTTCACATGATAGAACCAGTGATTTTTGTTTTTGCAATTTCTTTTTTATTACCATACAATTATTTAAAATGTTGCCAATTAATTTTCTGTGGATCGACTAATCTCCTCAGCTCTAAATCTTGTATAAGTACGTTCTAATTTGGCCTCTCCCTGTCACTGAAACCCAAAGCCTTTCACATCCGCTGTTGAAAACACATGAACGCACAAACACAATCAGACCGCGCTTGCATTATTCACGTCTTTATCACCACCGCCATCACGTTTTTCTGAGTGCACACCAACATGGTCGGTGTGCCTTGGTGATTAAAGCACATTTCTGATTCAGACTGCTAATAGTGGTGAGTTCTGGCACAGAATATCTGATCGCGAGGTTTACCAGAGCGCTCTGCAGCAACGACCCCTGGCTGTAAATCACCGCCGAAAGCACCCAAAAACAGCCGAGTGAAATGATGCCACAGACGTCCAAAATGGTGTAGGAGGAGGAGGATAGGAGTTTAATCTTCAGCATATGAAGTAGAGACCTGACTCCAATCCATAGCCCTTTCCTTTCCCCTTAAACCCAGCTGTCAAAGCCCCTGGCTTAACACAAGCCTCCAAAAACCCATCGACAGCAAGCCCTATGACACTTTCTCTTCCTCCAATTTTTTCTGTTTCTGTTCTCTTTCCATGTGTGTGTTTTAAAAAAAATCACAGTCAATCAAAATCACGACCCTTTCCAAATCATGATCTCAGCCCCCCACTGCAATATTGAGTGTATTAATCACATGCCTGATATATTCTTTCAACACTGCCTTCGAATTTTAAATGCAGTCCTCAATCAAAGCGAGTGGAAATACCATACCTGTCACTCAAGCAGGGCATTGTGGGAAATATCAGCTCTTTGGGGCTTTGTGAGGGGGGGTAGGGGGGGTGGGGGGGCATGTGGCTCCGTCCAGAGAGGGGGCTGAATATGAAGAGGGGAAAACATGCAGCGCATTTGAATACCGCTGACCTTATATGCATGCTTTTCATTGTGGGTAGAATTACCTGAATCGCATATGAACCACTGCACCTGGCAGAGGTTGCCATGGATACTGGGCCCCACAGTCTGTCTGTCTCTCTCTATCACACACACACACACACACACACACACACACACACACACACACACAC